ACTCATTGCACATTCCCAGCGCACTGACCAAACTATCAACGACCGCTCCCAGTCACAGCTTCAGATCGAAGCAGGAGAGGCACCAAATCATGACCACTGTGGGAGCCAAACATAGCGGTCACATGATATAAAAGCTGTGCCATTGGGAGACGGTGTAAGGGGGTAAAGATGTGGGTAAAGGGTTTAAAATGCCACTAATTACTGATTGGGGGGAGGGGGAATTTTATCACTACTGCTTGGTTTCAGTGGGTGACTTTTAATGGTTGTGTGCGACTTGACCACCTTAATACCAGCATGTGTCTCGTCTTCCAAAAAATTGTGGTGAAAAAAATTACACCATCTTGAGGTGACTGCTTTCAACAATAGGGTCATTTTGGGGGTAATTGTACTGTCACGGCAATTTTATGACCATCCAGACCAATTTTATGACCATCCAGCCAACATTTAACATGGCTACTGGCCAGGTTAGTACTCATTGGCATGGTGCAGCAAATATTAAACCCTGTTGTATGTTTGGCGGGCAGTACTGCCTCAAAACGCCTCAAAACCGTGAGCCATCCAGCTGGATGGATCTTCGCTTCAACTGGGAACCAAAGGCTAGGCGTGCAGTTGCAGCACAGAATTTCTATTGAAAATCCCCATTCAGTAGAAAAAAACAAATCAGACATTCAGTAGGACGCAGTATTGTCTCCTGAATGCCTTACAGCTGTTGGTAAACCGCTGTCTGAAAAAGGATCAACTGTGGAACGTTTTTTCAGAAAATAACGTAAGTGTAAATGAGCCCTTAGAAACACCAGCTGTGCATTTCCATCAGCTGACTGCCGAGATCTGCTCTCCACAGAAAAAAGCTGAGATTTCTGTGCTTCTGTTGTGAACTTTGAAGATTAATTTCTCCACATTGTCTATAGCTACAAAAGCGAATGGGTGCTTGTTTTAATGGTGTTTTTTATGAAGTATGACGGGAGTCCAAAGGCAAGCAAAGTGATTTTTTGCTTCTTCCAAAGCTCATTTATACCCTCTAATTACTCCTAGTACATTTCTTTTTATTTCCAGTATTCCACGTTGCCAACGTATTACGCAGTACTGTCGGGCACATAGAACCATTCACATCAGTCCTGGCACTGCATCAATTGTCAGAATCTCAAAGTGAAGATTGTGTATTCAGTCTGTCGCAATTCAAAAACAGTTGGCAGTTTTGCCCCAAAAGAGGACAGCGCAAAAATAAATGTTGGAGCAAATGTAGCCAAATATTTACCCATTACTTATTACAAATACAAAAACTTCTACTTGACTACAAGGAGAGGCAATTTGGAAAAACCCGTAAACCCGCTTTGTGATGTCATGGAGATCTCCAAAATAAAACTAGTTTAGGCAGCGCTGCAAGAGAAATATTTATTATTTCAGCTGTAATTGCAGTGCGCCGGTTTACTGACGGAAGATGTTCGCCGTAGACGGGCGAGACTGGTTAACAGGACAGGAATTTATAGACGATATTACGAATGGGATTACAAGTGTGCCAAGTGAGAGCTGATCATTTTATAGCTGTTTAGTGAAAGCCTTTGACACAACGTGTAGAAATAAAGTATTGTTTTTCAAGCAGACCTCACAAGAGAAAATTTAGACTTCAACATTTGGACTGTGTGGAAAGCAGACCAAGCTGGCCAGCCACAGATTGGAAGCATCTCTGGGGGTTCCTGGATTTTTATTAATTAGAAAGGTTTATATTGGAGTATAGCATTGGCTGGAAACTGACCAGCAGCTGCATTTTACTCAAATGCAAATTTTTTACAGTAACAATTTAATTTAAAACTGAACTCCAAGATAAGCAATTACTGTCTAAATACACGAGTCATGAGCATTCTTCCTTGAATCTCGGTGTACTTTGTGTATTTCTTCTACATCGGTGCAATAATCCAGTGTGAAACATTGGCTTCTTGTAATAAAGACCAGTCACTGTTGTTCTCTCTTTTGGTGCGGGGTGACTGGTCTTGTCTCCGCCCCTTCCTGTAGTTTTCTGCAGGCAGCCTGCCTGCTGGAGCCTGCTGGATTCCTCCCACTGCTCTGCTCTCTGCACAGGCTATGTACAACACAGTGATTATATCCTTCGTGGCTATTGTGAAATATAATTAATTTAAAGTTTTTGTTCCCAGGGAACTTTAAAGTATATGTAAGCCCAATTGTTACAATTTCATATAACCTCTAACACGGTATCTTAAAACCTAAGCTTAGTTAATTAAAAACAATCGGGGATAAATGAGCGAGAAGTGTCCCTTGTGCTTGTGGCAGCTGTCTTGAAATCTTCTGTCCTCTTCCCCCCTATACCCTCACAGCAGTAATCTTCCTGTGCTGCAGGGGTTAATACAACCGCTGGACCTTTCGTAAGTACTTATGAAGGGTGCCAACTATGCCTGCCATTTCTGCCCCTATCCTCTATTCATATAAAACTGTCCTATAAAAACGATGTGAAATCACTTACCACCCCAGGTTTTAAGACTTCCAGGGTGCTCTTGAAAAAAACTGAAGATACTGTAGGTGCAAGTCATGCGACCAACAGGCTGCTTACCAGTATGCTTTGTGGATATCATGAACGCACCCTCTATATTAGCTATTGTCAGCCAGGGTTCTTCTAGAGTTGCTAGGGGTCCTTTGAGATGTGGCTGATGGATCTTCCATTGGCTAGTCCCTGCATAGTTTCAGGGTCATCGCCACTTATTTGTTTTAGCTGTCTGAAGGGTAGCATTCTGACCACCATTTCAGATGGGGCTATTCTTCCCACTAGCCATCAATGTAAGGGCCATTTTTCCCACTCACCGCCAATGAATTGGTTTTAGCAAGGGTTCTCCAAGACTGCAAAAATTATTTCAAAGGTCCCTCTGGGGAAAAAAGGTTGAAAAAGACTGCTCTGTAGTAGAGAACAAACATGGTAAGTCAATGATGGTGAAAAGATCAACTGCAGGAGACCACAAGTCATACTAGTAACTAGTCCTTTGCTTTCTTCTTCTCTTTTTGTGGGCATAGCATCCACAGGACAGTTCCTCTTTCAATTGGAATCTGGTTACTAGCTTCCCTTTTTTTTTTCGTGAATAAGTGCCAAGTGTGTCTTCTTATTTTATTGTACCATGAAGATCTTCTTGTGGTGTTGGCGCTCCACACAGCGTCTTTTCTTAGTTTCACCATCTCACACTCTGCCTCTTTTGGGATGTTGTTACTGCTGCTGTTTGGCGTCCATTCTTAAGAGCACCGTCTTCCACTGACCATGACTTTCTGGATCACTATGTTTTCATTTCTAATAGACCTTGAAGAACTGTAAAAGGCCTTTGAGAGTTTTTAAGTTGAGACCAATTTTTCATTTTTAAAAAAGCATTTGGATTATACCTACTGTATTATGTTCAATATTATGAAAGGTTTATTAAACATAGACAACGGGTAATCATGCATCATACTCAACGCTCAACACCTTTTTATTGATCCCTGGGGTTTGTATCAAGGAAACATTTTCTATATATGTAAAGCTGATTAAAAAAAGGCCCAAGTGTATATAGCCCTGTATTTAATATTCTGTATAATGTGTTGTGCGGTATGTTGCTCTACGATACAATGCGTTGTGGTGCCAATTACAAGGAGCCCCATTCACCCTGAGTCGTTTGCCACTCGATTCCTGAAGCGCAATAGTGCTCTTGTTGAAGAATCGTGTATTTTTTGTCTCATAGATGTTAATGGGAGTGCCTGAAAAACTGTGTGTTTTTCATACACTCCCATTTCAAAGTCTATGGGGCCAAAAACTTGCGATTGTGCGCAAAAAGTTCTTGACTATGTTGACAATTATGTGTGAATGGGCACTGAATGGCACTGCAATGCACATAGAGCACGTTAGAGTAATGCTAACATATGCATTTTAGCGCACATTACTGTAATGGATTGTTATCTACGCCCCAGTCAGTACCTTCACACACATACACAGGGACTGTAGAGAACACATCTCTGGGACTTCTATCTGTTAGCTGGTATATTTATAAGATATATAAATTATATGAGTGCAATCCAGTTGCCCTGTTCTACCTACATGTATAGAGCCTTTGAGGATGTTCTATACACATATAATCATCTATCCCGCTTTGCAACTTTATCTGCCAGCAACCCTACAGGCCAGGAGATCCATACATTCCTGAGGGATACCGGTTTCTTTTTTATTTTATGTTTGTGAGTTTTTGGTTTTGTGGTACAAAGTATGCATTATTATTCTACTCACTTGGCGATCCGGGCTCCCATCATTTGAGGCTGCACTGTAACTGTCTACGGCAGATACATGGTATCAGCAGTACCTACCTGGTGGTTCAATGCATTTTCGTTTTTTTTTGCTGCTCTAGGCAAAACTAAAATTGCCCCCCCCCCCCCTTTTAAAAGAGAGCGGGGAAAAAAGAGAGGGGGGAAAAAAAAAGAAACAGAAAAAAAGAGAAGGAAAAAAAGGGGGGGGGGGGGGGGGTAGAGAAAGAAGGAGAGGAAAAAAGAGAAAGTGAACAAAAGAGAGGAAAAAAAAGAAAGAGAAAGAGAGAGCAAATAAGAGAAAAAAAAACAAGGAAAGAGAGTGAAAAAAGAGAAAGAGAAGAAAAGAAGAGAGAGAGTGATGGAGAGAGACCATGTCCTGTATTCTTCCAGCACTCACCTTCACAGCTCTCTGGAAGGACACCTGCTAGTCAATAATCAGGAAATCCTGGTATCTTCCTTGTCCGCTGAGCTCAGCCACTGATCCCCGAATCCCCAGAAAGCAGAGTTGGCCTCTGCACCTTCCAGCAGCCTGTAGCCTCTCGCCGATCCCAAGTGGCGGAAACTGCTGCAAAAATAATGGTTCCTGTATGAAGAGGTGTCTCCGGAGATGACTCCTCCCCTCTACACCATCCTCGGGAGCTCCTGCAGTGGCTCACTTGGTCCCCATCCTCTGTCACCTGCCACGTGTGTCCCTTCTGCCTTGGGGTGGCGCTGCCCTCCTGAATTATGCTGCCCAAGGCAAACGCCTTGTCTGCCTCGTGGTACATACGCCTCTGGTTTGATGCATTATTTAATGAACTGATCTTTCACAAATTTCTGTATCTTCTTTTCTGTCCAGTCCTGAAGAAGCAGTTTAGCTATGAAACGCGTCAACAAGTATGGGCTTTGTGGTATATTGGTTGCAAATGGCCTGATTCAAGCAGGAGTAATTACATTTTATATAGTTACATGATGAGGTTGAATAAAGACACCAGTCATCCAGTTCAATCTGTGTTGGTGTACGTGTGTTTATGTCAATGCCATTTCATATATCCCTGTATATTGCATTCGCTAAGATGCCCATTTAAGAGTTTTGAAATTATCGACACTTCCTTCTGACACCACTGATTGTGGAAGGGAATTCCACACCCTTACCGTTCTGATAGTAAAGAACCCCCTACGCAGGTGAAACCGCTTCTCCTCCAACTTCATTGAGCGGCCTTGTGTCTTCTTAAGCGATCTGAGACTGAACAGTTTTCTCCCTATGCTAGAATCCCCATAGAGATATTTGTATATCACCATCATACCTCCTATTAAGCATCTCTTTTCCAGGGAGAATACGTTTCATACTTGTAGTTGTTCCTCATAACTGAGGCAATTCAGGTGTCCGTTTATGACACAGAGAATAGCTGCGATTCAACGATCTCAGCTATTCTCTGGTCATTCACAGTTTATGACACTCAGGAGAACATGTTCAGCCCTTCACTGGAGATCTGTGTTCTCCCTCCAGATTATCCAGCCGAGAGCTGGAGAATCGGAGGGACCGAAAACTAAGCAGAGATAATTTACCTCTGTTTAGTAAACTGATCTTTTACTGTAATCTCGCGAGATTATAGTAAAATCAGCCGTTTTCCAGCGTTTGGAGACCGTTCTCCCTTCGTTCGGAGAACTGCTTCATAAACTGCATTCACAGGAGAACTGTGTTCTCCGAGAATGCCGGAGAACTGAGCAGCGATCTATTACCGCTGGTTCATAAACGGACACCTTAGTCCCTTCATTAGCTTTGTCGCTGTTCTCTGGACTCTCTCTAGTTCCAGCACATCCTTCCTGAGGACTGGTGACCAGGACTGGATGGCATACTACATAGTTTTAGAAAACTATTGTACAAGTTTTATGAATCAGATCTGACAGAGTAAATGTTATGATCAATACGTGAATAAAATTGACGCATAATCTTTATTGTGTTGTGTAATTTTTCCCTGTGGGTTCACTTTAAGTCCCAGTTATTGATGTAGGGGGATGGTATTCCCAGGGAAAATGTTTTGATACTAGATTAGATCCCCCTATTTTCTGTTTCAGAATTATTAAAATGCTCAAGTGTGAATAAGCCCTAAAGAACGTCCCAATTCTCCAACTCGGAAAGCGGGCAGTATGGTGGAGTAATGTGCGCATACGTGGCTTATTCACCTCCTGTAATCCTTGCACTGACGTAAACTATGGCTTAAAAGTTTCTTAATAGATGATGATAAATGAGTCGTTTTTACACGTCTCTGCGATTCCAGTGATCCCCTCCGTTTATAACGACACGTGGCTGCTTAGCGATCCTCTGCAATGTGTGTAATGGCATTTAATCATGTCAGCAGGTCAAGGGTGTCTGAAGGTGAATTATCAACAGATGTTACATCCTCTGTACCTATCAGGAAGCTGGGGAGTATGAAAGGCACAGCGGAGCACTCTGTATCCACCCTTACTGTCCTTATCCAGATTCCTGTTCAAAAACAGATAATTCATATGGGAGAGAATGAGAAACAGATGTTAAAGCTGAACACCAGGCAGATATCAAAGACTCAAATTATTGTAGCTCTGTATTTTTAATACATCTTTAAATGAACTTTTTTTTTTCATGCAAGTAGTGTAAGTACCTGATTTTACTTGATGACAACCTCATGCAGCCCCTGTACAGCAGAGCTAAGAGGGAGAAGCAGCACAAGAAGCCAATCAGTTTATATGCCTAAAAGGAGCATAGGAGATGGCCCCCTCATGGTACTGAGTCTCACCTTCACTGTCCAGTCATAGGCTTGGGGTGTACCAAAGATAGCCTGGGCTCAGAGGATGTGCTGGCCCTCGTCAGCGCAGGAAACTGAGGACACATAGTGGCAGAAATAAGTACTGCAGAAGACTGCTCTAGATTAAAGCTCAGTATTTCAGCAAATGCTGTTTTTTTAATGTGATCTTTTTAATGGGCTACGTTTTTTATTTTTGACTGTAGTTTAGATTTAAAGCAGAATTAAAGGGTGATTACTTACCTGTCTTATGGTACCTGGCCAGTGCCTGCATCTTCTTCTGAGTGCCGGTCTTCAGGTTTCATCATTGGCATGTGCAGGAACTTGTCATCCCGGAAATCAGAGAACAGCCTGGCACTGTGTGCTGATCTGTGCATGCGCAGCTCACATCACTGGAGAAGACAGTGAGCAGGCAGATTGGTGCATTTTATTGCAGAAGACACTTCAAATTTCTAGTAGCTAATGCCCCGTACACGCGACGAGAATATCGGACGAACGATCGGCTGTTTTTTTTCGCCTGCTAGTCTCACATCGAAAGTGAAAAGGTTACTAAAGATACGAAAATTCTCCTATGAAAGAAAAGAATTTTGAAAGTGATGTCATGTATTGTGTAGTATTTGTATTGTATTTTCAGATGACTACTGTACTGATTAAACGAAAATCGTTCGATTTGGTATCGTACGAGAAAAATTTTTGCACCTGTCCCTTCGGATATTGTCGTATGAACAGGGGCGGACTGACAACTCTAATAGGGCCCCCGGGAAATAGGGGATCATGGGGCCCCTGTGTCCTCACCAACACCCAAAAAAGCCTATGAAAAAGCCAATGAAAGGTATTAGGGGCATCTCATGGGGCCCCCTACTGACCCCGGGTCCTGAGGCAGTGCCAGAGTATTTGAATGGTCAGTCCGCCCCTGCGTACGAATTGTCGTGATCGGCTCTCAAAAGCTGTGTACTAACGATCCGATTATCGGACGATCGGTCCTCGTACGAAAAAGTTCGTACGATTTTCCTATAGTGTGTACGGGGCATAAGCCTTCTGAATTGGAAGGTTGACTGTCTTTAAGCTGAACTATGGATAGATCTGGAGAAAATACCAGCTAATATGAATACATATTCATTGCAAAAATTTAAATATATATTTTTAAATGCAACAAGTACTCAGTTTTCGGTGATTCCCCATACCCCAGACTGGAAGAGAGATTTAGGCTTTGCTGTGGTGCACAGTGCTGTCAGTTTAACACTGGCTGTTTGCTGACTAGAGGAAATATCGGAGTGAGCAGAGGGATGACTCATTAGTAGGCAGCTGTCCTTTACAATCAACAAGCTGAGTGTGAGTTCTGGGACATGCTGTGTTGCTCAACTGTAATGGAGGTCAAATTCTTTTTCAGGTAAAACAGTTTACAGGAAAATATTTTCTTCTTTTGCCCTCATGAAGATGCAACAAAAAGAAAATGCAAATTGAGAAAAATTACCATCTAAGATCCCATTTGCACCTGTGTGACTTGTCTTGTGACTTTGAACTTCAAACTCGCATGTCAAGTTGTACCCAGGGCAGACTGACCATTCGAGCACTCGGGCACTGCCCAAGGGCCCGGGGTCAGTAGGGGGCCCCATGAGATGCCCATGGTACCTTTTTCATAGGCTTTTTTGAGATTGGGCAAGGACACAGGGGCCCCATGATCCCCCATTGCCGGGGGGCCACATGAGTTGTCAGTCCGCCCCTGCCTGGTAACTTTTTTATAGGCTTTTTTGAGTGTGGGCAAGGACACAGGGGCCCCATGATCCCCTATTGCCCGGGGGCCCCATGAATTGTCAGTCCGCCCCTGGTTGTACCCTATGTTTTCCAATGATAACCATTCATATATGTGCAACCTAAAGTTGCAGTGACTTCAGAGTAGTTCATGTACTACTTTGGTCTGATTTTCATGCAACTTGAAGGCCGTAGACTTTAAGTTTAACCCTCAAAGTTGCATGAAAGTCCTACCTGAATGTTTTACATGCAACAGTCGTGCAACAGTGGGTCCAACTTTGCAGAAGGACAAGTCACATCCAAGTCCCACCTATCCAAAGTTACATCAGAGTTGCATCAAAGTTGTGCAACTTTGAAGTCGTACAAGTGTGAATGGAGCCTTAGGCTGGCCATATATTATACAATTTTCTTGAGAATTTTGCTTTAGATTTACCAAAAACCATATAATAGGAGGTCAAACCTAACAACACTTTCAATTGTATCCAATTAGGCGGGCCCTTGCACTACATAGTTGAAGGTAAATCTAAAGGAAATTGGGCAGAAATTGGACAGATAATTGTATAGTTTATGGCCAGCCTTAGACACAGTTGTCATCAGAACATTGGCTTCCATTGGAAGATTTACTTTCACCTCGCATGCTCTCATGTCAATTCTAAGGCCCCATTCACACCTGGAGCTCAAGGCATGTGCTGATATGCCCCTCTACACAGCCCTTCATTGGGAAGACCACTGTGATTGCTGTTTCTCCTCGCTGAGCTTCTTATGCAGCTGAGAACAGAGGGAATGTGATCACTTATAAAAAGGTGGAAAAATATATTTATAATGTGTTTTTTTTTATACACAAATGATTTAACTTTAATTTGTATTTTAAACTCTTCATGTTGTTTTACAAAGTGAGGGTTTATATATATGTTAAGGTTTTGTCGAAAACAGTCTATTAGGAAAAGTGATAGCTTGTTCAAGGTTGATGGATCAATACGATTTTTGGAAGTGACAGATCCTCTGTAATTTTGTTTATTTGTTTTGGCTGCAGTTATCTTTCTCCCTTATATTTGTGGTTGTTTGACTGCTTCTCGTTGTTTCTGAACATTCTCTGAAGAATTGTGTTATTGGCTGAGCCGAGTCCCTAAATTATAGTGTCATAGAGGAGGCCAGAGAGTCATAAAAGAGAAGGCAGCACAATATATGAAAATAGTGATCTCAACCTTTTTAATGGACGCCGTCCCCTCTTGATTTATGCGAGCGCTGACTCTTAAACTCCCGCCTCCCCTCCACCCCGAGCTTATAAAATGCTGCAAACATAAAACACCAGAATTTATTCTCAACGATTTGGAAAGTTGACAGAAGGGAGATAAATAGATAATTCTCACCAGCTCAGCAGAAAATGAAAACTTCATCTCTGATCTCCCGCAGAGTAATGGCTTACTGTTTCCAGGGCTTGCCAGAGGGGAGAGTTATAGAGGACAGCCGTGTTTAATATCATTTAAAGAGAAACGAGAATGGTTTTTGGCAAATGTTTATTTTTTTTTATAAGGTTAGGAAATTGATTTTTTATTATTTTTTATAGTTATTTGTATACATTTTTTTCTTATGAGAAAGCACATCTGCACACTTTTTGGCAGCATCCACCAACTGACATCCCGTCTTCGGAGGGAGGAGGGTTTGCTACTCCTCTGAGTCATTTTCTTTGAACTGCGCCTGCTGGCTGCAATTGGTAAATATGCTTAGGGAAAAAAAAGTGTGTGTGCATGTGCATGTGTATATATATATATATATATATATATATATATATATATAGATATATATTTCAGATACTTGTATAGCGCCGTCAATTTACATATATATCTTCAAATTAATGTAAACCCTCACCTTGTAAAACAAAATAGAAAACATTTGTGTATAGATATAAAAAAACATAAACCCTGAGGAAGTCACGTGTTACCGTGACGCAACGCGTCGGAACGCGAGGAGGATTCTGGGAGCGCGGTGACGTCATTTCCGGCTTGGCGGCCATATTTGAAACCCCTGTATACATATACCCATGGAGGAGATTCATAGCATGGGGTACTGAAGGCTTGTTACAAGACGATTCTAAATGTGAGTGGGCAATTTTTACTACATATCTACTAATTTAATAAACAGGATTACACTATGTGAGTTTTTGTTTGCATATAAACCGAGGAGGAGATCGCTGTTAGAGTGTAAGAGGCGGGGAAGGTCCTGGTGAGTCATCTAAAGGGTGTCCTGTTGTTGAGCGAGCTGACCCTGTGGGGTCTTGGCAAGGAGGTGAGGAGCCATCACGGCCAAAGTTTGGATTCACACAGTGTGGACACGTGTGACACATGCATGAAGATTGCTAGTTTTTTGTTTTTTTTTTTGATGCATTTGGACACTTTATTTTATTTCATTTGAGATTTATCATTATTTGTAATAGATGATTGGAGTGATTTTTATTGCACTTTATTCTCATTTTGATTGCACTTTATTCTCACTTTGAAGCACATGGTTTGCACAATTTTTGCTTATGCGCATATTTGTATATGCACTATTTTTACACATATGTTTAGTAAGTTGTGTTATTATGTAGAGCATTTTTAGCCAAGTGTGCACTCTATTTAAATTTTAAAAAAATTATTTTTTTAATTTTTATATTTATTTAAATTAGTTTAGGGAGAGCGCTGCATTTTATAAATTTTTATTTATTCACTGATTTTGGTAAAGGAGTTTGGTGTCAGCTGCTTGGTGAATAGGGCCCCATTCTTAGCGCAGGAAGTTCTCGCACTTTGATTTATAAATACTTTTCTTTCCCCCTTTTTATTAAGGGATCACATTCATAGAGAGGTGAGGGTGGAGAAACAGGAGTACCCTGGTCTTCCTAGGGAATGGCTGTGTGGGATGGGGGAGGGGGGGGGGAGCTGTGTCAGGACAAGTTTGATCATTTGAGGACTGCACAGCTAGATAACTGATCACGCTGTGTTCTCAATGCCTAGTGTGGTCAGTTTTTAATGAGAAATCAGAGGGACTGGTAGGAACACCAGGGATTTCACACAAAGGAAGCAATAGAAAGAGAACATAATACTTTTTTTTACAAGTACATGGTACAGCACAGGCACATATCAGGAATATGAGAGGTTGGGATTACATTATTATTATTATAGAGGATTTGTATAGCTCCAACAGTTTGACAGCGCTTTACAATATAAAGGGAGACAATACAGTTACAGTAGATAAAAAAATGAGGATTAAGAGGGCTCGGCTCATAGGAACTTACGATCTTAACATATTCTTTAAGATTTCCCATCTCCAGAAGGAGGAGGGTTTGCTTATTCCTTTGAGCGGTGCCTGCTGGCTGCAACTGGTAAATATGCTCATGTGCAAAAAGGGGAATTCTATCCACTTGAGTGACAGCTCAAGACAAGCTGGCAGCACCCAGTTGCTGTCTCTGGGCTTTTGGATGTCTACATAGGAGGATTTTAGAGGTAAAAAACACGCATAAAACACATTGAAAAAAAAGATAAGATTTTTCTGGAAATAAATGATCGTGTAGCTCATATCTTAATCGGGTTTAGATCATCTTAAAGTGGAACTTTACATGAAAAAACGAAGTCCTACTGGTTTGCTCCCTCCCCCAGCCTGTAATTGAGTTACAGATTTTTTTTTTTTTTTGCGCTTCCAACTTTTTTTCAACTGCAGTTCTCTCCTAAAAAAAAGGATGGCATTCCTTGCGCCCTCCCAAGAGGCTATAGGATCATTCACAGAGCACCACATGAGCTCTCACAAGCATGGTGGGGCTTCCTGAGGAACCATTGTCAGCTCCCATTTCCAAGATGACGGCACCAGGGACCCGCAGCAGTACCAAGAACTGACTGCGGAAAGACAGCCCTGGATCCCAGGCACTGGTAGGTATCTGCTTTGTAAATGTCAATAGCTACGGTATTTGTAGCTGCTGAGTGGTAAAAAGGAAAAAAACAAACTGAAAATTCCTCTTTAAGGCTCGTTTCACACTCTTGCAACCCCAAAGTCGTATGTTTTCCAGTGCAACTTTGCATTGCGACTTGAAGCATCTTCACTGTCCTTGAAAGAAAATTTCATGCAACTTTGATGTTTTGTGCCTTTGTCTCTGGCAAATCATAACAATAACGCCACCATCAAACCCGCCCCGCAGGCCAGAGTACTTGGTGTCATTTGGACTCTCCGACCTATCCTTCCAGCCCCAAGTCCAATCTTTAACAAACTCGTGCAGACTCCACCTCCGCAACATCGCCAAAATCCGCACGTTCCTAACCCCAGAAACCACTAAACAGCTCATCCACTCCCTCATCATATCACGACTGGACTACTGCAACTCCCTCCTCACTGGCCTGCCTCGCCGCTGGCTATCCCCGCTTCAGTCGATCCTGAATACGGCTGCCAGACTCATTCACCTTTCCAACCGCTCCATCTCCGCCACCCCCCTCTGCCAATCCCTCCACTGGCTTCCGATTGTGCAACGGATCAAATTCAAAATCCTAACACTGACGTACAAAGCCGCCCACCATACTGCCCCGAACTACATCACTGACCTAATATCCGAGTACCGCCCAGCACGCACACTCCGCTCCTCACAAGACCTCCTTCTCTCTAGTTCCCTGGTCTCCTCCTCCCATGCCCGCCTCCAGGACTTCTCCAGGGTGTCACCCATCCTCTGGAACTCCCTGCCCCAACCCATCAGATTATCACCTACTCTCCTCTCCTTTAGACGCACCCTGAAAACCCATCTCTTCAGGGAAGCCTACCCCACCTCCTGCTAACCTGCCGACCTCCTCCACTCTTCCTACCACTCCATCCCCCACAGCTATCTCCTCCTGTGCCACCATCCCCTCCCTCCTAGATTGTAAGCTCCAAAGAGCAGGGCCCTCAATCCCCTCATGTTTTGCATTGTATTGTTATTGTTCTGTCACATGTTCTGTCCCCCTTTGTAATGTACAGCGCTGAGCGAACTATTGGCGCTTTATAAATACTGTATATAATAATAATAATAATAATAATAATACAGAGTTTGATACATATTACTAACCTTAAAAAACTCTCTGAAGTCGCAGCCAAAGTCACAAAGATAAGAGAAAGTAACCACTTCCGTGCAGATTTTAACATTGCAGTCTATGGTACTAATAGCGCAAGGAAGACGCAGAAAAGTAGTGCCGGTACTATTTGTTATGTTGCTTCAATTTGAGTCACAGCAATTAAGATGGCACCCATTGAAATGAATGTGTTTTGATTTGTCATGTGACTTTCTGTGTAGCAAGTCGCAGCAGTGTGAACCAGGGCCTAGTCATTTTTCATAGTTTTTTGTTTTTTAGTTTTGTACTGTTTAAGTACTGTTTCAACTTTAATTTGGATTTATACTTCATACATGCATGCGTGTGGCTACAAAATTCTAAATAGATCTAGCTGGTTCCATTCCTGGCCCCGTAAAATTGGTGACTAATGGGAAGAGAACATTGGCCATCACAGTGGCTAAATGGTTAGCACTGATGTGAATGTACAATATATATGTAAAGTGCTGTGTAAATTGATGGCGCTATATAAGTACCTGAAATAAATAAATTAGTGTTGATGCTTCTTCTCCCATCATGGCCAGGAGCTCACCAGTTTTCCCTTTTTTGCTCCTATGGAAAGTCTTAATTCTCAAGGCTGCGATGGAGGCAGAATGGAAAAGGAAAGTATAAACTGTTAAGGGTTTCTTTAAGAGGGGACAAAGTGATAAAACATTCGAGAGACAAGTTCGAGTCTCTGTTTAAAGTAACTGTAGAGGAACGCTGCCAAAACAAACAGCTTCCAGAACAGCAGGCAGATCCAGTTACCAGACTCGGATGGGGCTGCCCGATGGGACAGACAACAGGACTGCATGGAAAAAGGTAGAAGCAGAGAAGTTGTAGGAACTGAGCATGGAACTGAGACGACTTAAACGCAGCCAAAGAAGCGATTTTCAGCCTGTGTCTAGGCGTCTTGAGGGAATAACGCACAAATTTGGTAAATGGATGCCCCATAAGCTTCTATACCTTCTGTTATTGTAAAAATAGTTGTTACGAAAATTATGTATATAGTGTCTTCCTCTGAAAAGCAGTACCCTAGGCAAGGAGCTAGTCCACATATGGAACAGTGGTCTTATTCCAAGGCTAGATCCAGTGCAGGGGCGAACTGATCATTTGGAAACTCAGGCACTGCCCGAGGGCCCGGGGTCAGTAGGGGGCCCCATGAGATGCCCCTGGTACCTTTTTCATAGGCTTTTTTGAGTTTGGGCAAGGACATAGGGGCCCCATGATCCCCTATTGCCCGGGAGCCCCATGAGTTGTCAGTCCACCCCTGCCTGGTACCTTCTTCATAGGCTTTTTTGAGTTTGGGCAAGGACACAGGGGCCTCATGATCCCCTATTGCCCGGGGGCCCCATGAGTTGTCAGTCCACCCCTGATCCAGTGCCATATGGCATGTAGTTTATTCATTTATTTATTTATTTATTACTTATATAGCGCCATCCATTTAGACATCGCTTTACATATATATTGTACATTCACATCAGTCCCTGCACTCAAGGATCTTACAATCTAAGGTACAGTCTAGGCTCATCCCCAGTGCGCTCTGCCACACTATTAAAAACATCCAGGAGGTGCTGGGACTTTGGTGTGAGTTTATACAAAGTAGTGAGAGGACAAAAACATTCGGAGAGCTCATTGGCTCAGGTTAGTCGTCTCACAAAAGATAGGGCTACCCAGCACGTTCCAAGAAAAAAAAAAACGTGCCAACACCTAACCAAATGATAAAAGTTCAAATTAATTTGTTGGTTTACACTAAGAAAAACATTGATGTGTTTCAGGGGTCAGAAAAAGTTAAAATAAGGGCTTCAGTTAAAATTAGAACAGATTGGGCTTCCCTACATAGATTATTTTGAGTCCATTCAAGGTTCTTATTTTAACTGAAGCCCTGATGAAGCAGGAGGTTTTTTTGGCTGCCGAAATGCGTTGGAATTTTTTCTTGTCTTGTGTAAACCAATAAATGATCTTTTATCCTTTTGGTCTGGGACATGTTTTTTTTTCTGGTAACAATCTAGTCATGGATAGAGTATTAACCCCTTCTCGCCGGCGTCTCCCTTTAAGAGTTTCAGACGCCGGGAGGTGGGGCGTGGTTTTAGAGATCATGTGACCGCCGTGACGCGTCGTCACGGCGGTCACATGATCGGGAAAAGTCCCGATCAAAAGAGCGGACCGGGACCTTTTCGTGAGTACCTCACATGTGTGCTAGGAGCGCGCAGGGCGCGCGCTCTGAGCACATATGTTTTTTGTTACATGAACGCAAATGTGCGGTCGCTCAGCGTCTAGGCCCAGACGCCGGGAGGCCGCACATTTGTGTGCAGCCGGTGTAAATGGGTTAAAGTAGTCAATATCAACTACCAGTTTCAGCAGTTAGACGGTTCAGCAAATGGAATGGGTTCTGGTCATTTTAGTCATTTGGGATCTTACTCTCCTCTTCTACCTCCTTTTCTGCCTTCTGTCATGCTACCGTTTGCCCTCCTCTAGTTTTTCTGTCTGTGGGGGTGGGATCGACTTGTCATCTACAATCACATATTTAGATGACAGTTTAAAGCGGTGTTTAACTCTAGATAAAAAAAAACGAACAGCTACAAATCCTGTAGCTGCTGACTGTTAACAACAGGACACAAAGCTCGGGTTCACACTAATGCAGTGTGGGAAACGCTGCAAATCCTGTGCGTTTCCCGCACCATATTGCAATTTCTCACCCATGCGATGCGATGCAGGTGCGGATAAAAAAAGGGTCCTGCACCTTTTTGGTGCAGATGCGAATTGAGCCTTATAAAATGTAGGGCTCAAATCGCACCACACAGACTAAGCATGTAATTCACGCAGGAATGTGGTGCGGACTGGTGTGGACCAGGGGCAGACTGACAACTCATGGGGCCCCCGGGCAATAATGGATCATGGGAACCCTTTGTCCTTGACCAAACTCAAAAAAGCCTATGAAAAAGGTACCAGGGCATCTCATGGGGCCCCCTATTGACCCTGGGCCCTCAGGCAGTGCCCGAGTTTCCAAATGGTCAGTCCGCCTTTGGTGTGGACCCAGTCTTACCTGTACAGGGATCCAGCGCTGTCCTCCCCCCCCCCCCCCCCCCCCCCCCCAGCTAGTTCTTCACTAGCCCTTGGCTTGCCGGCATCTTAAGGGGGGGGGGGGGGGGGAAATGGCTTGCGACTTCATAGCCAGTTGGCCGCTGCGCATGCATGAGCTGCACTGTGCTTTGTAAGTGGTCCCCACCCCACCCAAAAAAGAAAATGACCTGCCAAATGTTTTAGAGGAGGGGAGAGGAGGACATGAAGCGGAACTTCTGCTTTTGGGTGAAGCTCCGCTTTAGTTCATCCTGAAGTCATCTTATTCCTTACTATCATTTAAAGGAATGTCTCCCTCCCGACTCTTTAGGCTTCTAGCACATGGTACTACTCATGTTTGACCATCAGCATTTATGGACATAATTTCAGGCATTGTTTTTGGGCGTATTTGAATTTGCACACACAATACATTCCTACGCAAAATCCATGAATATTTATGCTCATATGTGTGTATCTGCGCGTATATGCGTGTACTGGCACATACTACTGACCAGAAACGCAAATTTTTTTTTTTTTTTTTCAAGTATACGTAGCGTTTGTTTGCATGCCTGTGTGTACAGGCACATTGTAAACAATTTGCTGCATTTTCGATCAGTACAAAACCCCACTATACTGAGCCTTTTCAAGCTGCAGTTTGCAAAAGGCCTCAGAGAAACAAGTGTTGATACCTTCCTTACCAAGTTGTAGAAATGTTTTTTTTTTCGTTTTAAAGTGGGTTATTTATAGTATGGATTCTGTTGCGCTGGTTTTATCAGATGCAGTGAAAGGGAAATGTCAGAATGGATCTATCTGCTCTCTTACACAATCTGTTTTCACTGTAGACATAAAAGAAAAACTTTGGAAGCCGGTGATTCTTTTTCTCCCATTCTCTGCAGCGGTTAATGGTATTTTTAGAAGTGATTATTAATGAATTCAGCATTCCTTGCACTACACATGTGTTTTCTCTCACTATCCCCCCTGCCCACCCTGGAGGTCCGAAAACTTGATAACAGACCAGAAACGCTGAACAAATAGGAACAGTGCGCATCAGGATACGCCAATAATTTTGCTGAAAGGCTGAATATTGAATGCAGTCTTCCTGTCTCATGCTGCAAAGGAAAAATGAATGTAAAGTGGGCCCATCACCGGGGGGGGGGGGGGGGGGGGGGTTGAGAGACGTGGATTTTTACATTGGAGAAAGTTTTTTTTTCCCTTGCTGTTAACCCATTCCAATCTGGAGGGGTCTCATTTATGATATATCTGGAGCGAAACTCATGTCAGATACTTAAACGTGACGCCATCACTTTTTTTCTCTTCACCTCTGTTTAACTTTTTATCATATGTAGTTAATATAAAAAAAAATCTGCACAAAATCTTAAAACTCTTGACCCCCTTTATGACCAGGGCATTTTTTGCTATTCAGCACTGTGGTACTTTTAACTTGCGGTCATGCAAAACTGTATCCAAATTAACTTTATATTGTTTTTTTTTTCACACAAGTTGAGCTTTCTTTAGGTGGTATTTGATCACCACTTTTTTATTTTTATTATATAAACAAAAAAAAAGACCAAAGATTTTGAAAAAAATATATATTTTTTTACTTTCTGTTATAAAACATATCCAATAAAAAAATTTAAAAAAATTATTTTCTTCATAAATTTAGGCAAAATGTATTCTGCTACAAGTCTGTGGTGAAAAAAAAAATTTTGCAAGACCTCCTACTTTCTAGCTCCCTGGTCTCCTCCTCCCACACCCGACTGCAGGACTTCTCCAGGACCTCCCACACCCTCTGGAACTCACTTCCCCAATCCATCAGACTGTCACCTACCCTCCTCACCTTTAGGCGCACCCTGAAAACCCATCTCTTCAGGGAAGCCTACCCTACCCTCACCTAACAGCCGATCTCCTCGACTCCTCCTACCACTCCATCCCCCACAGCCACTTCCTCCTGTACCACTATCCCCTCCCTCCTAGATTGTAAGCTCGAAAGAGCAGGGCCCTCAAACCCCTCGTGTATTGTTTTGTTACTGTATTGTCTCATGTACTGTCCCCCACTATAATGTACAGCACTGAGCAAACTTTTTGGCGCTATATAAACACTGTATTTATAATAATAATAATTGGTTTGCATGAAAATTGTAGTGTCCGCAAACTATGGTAAATATACTAGAATTCGCGCAGCTATGAAGCTATACTAGTAGTGGCAGTGATAGGCAAGTTATAGTGTGACTGTGATAGTGTGGAGGGCAATCTGGCACTAGCTGACGCTGGTTGGGGGGGACACTAACTGAAAATGACGTTGCTAGTAACACTAATACAGTTATCATATATAATACTGTACGCTGTACTAATGACACTGTCTGGGAAAGGGTTAACATTAAGGGTCAATCAAGGGGTTAACTGTGTGCCTAGCAAGTGTAATGTGTGTTACTTTTACTTACAGATCTGGCTTTTTTTTCTTCCTGCTTTGCAGGGAGAAGAAACAGCCAGATTGTGGTCTGTGTACAGAGTCCTGTGTGTTTGTAAACACAGAACTTTGTTCTCTGATTGGTCAAGGCAGATCAGCTGGTATACAGCCAAAATCATTGGCTGTATCTGGTTTACCAACTTGTGCTGTAGACAGATACAGCAGAGATCAGCAGAGGGCGTGCATGCCTAAAACCCAGAAGCAGGACCGCTACTTGATTGTTCGTGGTGGTGCCTGCCCTTGTTGCCTGCTCTCAGTATATATAACATGCCCTGCCAGTGTTATACAGTAAAACATACAAAAAAAACGTGTTAAATGATAGAAGAATAATTTTATTGCAACGTTTAAAATCCTATATCCACTCCCCACACAAAAAGTTGATCAGCTATACAATCATAGCTCAGTATACAAAATACATCATCCTACGCGTTTCGCGGGATTGCTGCTTCATCAGGACTGTAAATAGAGCTTTCCTGTACAAATAAGATAGCCAAGGTCCATCTCCTACTCCCGTTAGGACAACCAAATGTACACAGGTGTACTGATGGAGATCTTACTAAGTCCCCCTACCCCACTTGTGGGAGGGCATACAACACCAGGGGAAATAAAGAGGGCTATCCAGAAACTATATAAAAGAATTATGCAGTATAATAGGTGCTGCCAAATTAGAATATGTCTATGGGCTACACAGGGGGGATGCAGAGATATGTGGACTAACCTGAAAGATGTAGAAGTGATCCTGGACAACGTCCTCCAGACAAAGTGCCTCTCCTGTGAGGTTCTGTCCAACTGCAGCACCGCCAAACTCCTCCAGAGGACACATCTTGCAGGTTAGTCTAGGTCAGGGGTGGACTGACCATTTGGAAACTCGGGCACTGCCCGAGGGTCCGGGGTCAGTAGGGGGCCCCATGACATGCCCCTGGTACCTTTTTCATAGGCTTTTTTGAGTTTGTGCAAGGACACAGGGGGGGCCCCATGATCCCCTATTGCCCGGGGGGCCCCATGAGTTGTCAGTCCGCCCCTGGTCTAGGTAATGAAATTTCTGAATTTCATTTGCTTTTTATCATTTGATTTTTGGAATGAATGGACTTTCTCAAATGAAGACCACATTCACTGCTCGAAATTTGTTCGTTGGAAGAAAAAAATTTCTTCCTCATCACTGTGGTCAAAAACGACAATCAATTGACCCCACACAACTAAGGTGTCCTTTTATCATGCAGCGGTAAATGACCGCTGCTCAGTTCTCTGGCATTCTCAGAGGAGAGAGTTCTCCTCTGAATGCCTTTTTATGAAGCGGTGTAGATCACTTCTCCGAATGAAGAGAGAAGCGATCTACAAACGCGTTGAATGCGGGAAAACGGCTGCTGTTACTGTAATCTCACGGTAAATTACCTCTGCTTTATTTGCGGTTCCTCCGATTCTCCAGCTCTGGGCTGGAGAATCTGGAGGGAGAACACAGATCGCCAGTGAAGGGCTGACATCACTCCTTCATACACTGGCAGTCTGTGTGCTGAGATGATCAGAGGAGAACATGTTCTCCGCTGATCATCTCCGTTTCCTAAACCACTAATGATCGGAGATCAGCAACGATCCTCAGGATCGCCGCTGATCTCTGTTTCATAAAAGGACACGTACTGTTTCTTAAATGGAAACATTTTGAATGAAATCCTACTTGTGTATGGCCATCTTAGGGTAGCCACACACGTTAAGAGAAAAATCAATAGATTCCCTCCATCCATGCGAGTGTGGATGGAGAAATCTCCCCTACTGGCTATTGTGTTGTGACAGCTTGTAGCCATGGCTGCCTAAATACCTGAACAATGACTGCATCTGATTAGCTACAGTCTGACTGGCCAAAATTTTCTAACTGAAAAATTCTCATCCTAAACAAACGTTGATTTGAACCCACTAATTGTTATTATTATTATTACATCGAGTAATATAGCGCCAAAGGGTTTGCTCAGCGCAGTAAAATGGGGGGGGGGGGGCAATACATGAAACAGTACAACAATAAAAACCAAGTACGAGGGGTACGAGGGCCTTACTCTTTCGAGCTTACAATCTAGGAGGGAGGGGGTAATGGTACAGTAGGAAGTGGCTGAGGGGAATGAGGGGTGGGAGGAAAGAGGGAGAGTGGCCGTTAGGTGTTAGGTGAGGGTGGGGTAGGCTTCCCTGAAGAGATGGGTTTTGAGGGAGCGCCTGAATGTGAGGAGGGAAGGCGACAGTCTGATGGATTGGGTCAGTGAGTTCCAGAGGATGGGGGAGGACCTGGAGAAGTCTTGCAGTCGTGCATGGGAGGAGGAGACCAGGGAGCAGGATAGAAGGAGGTCCAGTGAGGAGCGAAGGGTACTAGAAAATCAAACTAATGTTCCTAAAATGAAACATTTCAAATGAATATCTACTAGTGCATACCCAGCTTAATCCATTAACTGGAGGGGTACTAAGTACATCACCTGTCTGAATGTGTCAGTGACACTGTACCCGGGGACAGGATGTTTCTGATATCTA